CAATCTGACAGTGACTTAATGTTTGAAGTGACTTAAGGGCCCACACAGGAACAGAACTTCATTAAGTGTATTTTTCTATTACAAAAGCAATATAACCCGAGAATTTGGAAAGTATTGGAAAGTATGAACAGGAACATTAGCCTTATATCTACTGTTTAACAACCATAGTTAACATCTCCATGTTCTTTCTTCTTGTAAAATATTTTATTTATTTTTATACAAGAACTGGGGTACAGGTCAGAGGCGCAGGAGGGTGAAAGGATTCACCAGAGACAGAGCAGGGAGCAGAACAAGCAGACGGACGGAAATACACTGCTGAAGGGAGCAGCGGGTGAGACGGGAGAGATCTGCCGTGCCATGTGGGTAGCTCCCCAGCCGGGAATCGAACCCGCGCTGCAGAGGCTGCGGACAGCTTCACAGTGCTGCGCTCAACCCGCTGAGCCCCCGGGGAGACCCTACATGTGGTCTTTTCTGACTGGCTTCTTTCACTTAGCATGTCTGCAAGAGTTACAGTGGAGAAACTATCAGTCCATCATTTCTATTTATGACTGAATAATATTCCATTGTATTTGGCTTTTTTAAAAATACAACTGTAACCATTCCAAATACATAATTTATGTCCAGTCTTCTCTGTGTTATAAATGCTTCATACATGCTTAATTTCATGAAAAGTAGAGTGCCCCGTCAAGTGGCTGTACCACAGTTTATTTAATCTTATTGTTGGATGTTTGAACCCATGCCAGTTTTTTCTACCGTAAACAAGCTGCTCCTATCTGAGTGATCTATCTGGATCCAGGCAAATACCTCTCAGAAACTCTTGAGCTTCCTACTGGAAATTACCACAGAGGACGAGACTCATGTTCTTCCAGGGAAAACTCAGGATTTCATCTATCCCAAACCTAGATAAAGGAGAGATGTTAAAAACTATCCAAGATTGAATAGGATACCCCCAAAATTACCAGAGGAAGAATGAAAATTCAGAATTTTAAAAACACAACATAACACAGCCTGAGTCTTCCATCAGAAATGTACACTGATGAAGAAAGGGAAATACCTGTCCAAATGTGATGCCTAGTATTAAGTAGCTTCAATGAAATCAGACTACTTTTGCTTTCCACAGCAGGCTGGAAGAAAATAAATTGGAGAACACAGCTTGACTAAAACACATAAAGATACACTTACTCTTGCTACTGGATGACAGTAAATGAAATCCAACAGGTATAAAGAAGAGGAAGATGACACTGTGAAGTCCACAAGGGTCCTCCAAAGTAATTAGACACACTGGGTCCCCCAAAACATTGACTGTCACTACCTATTGCTTCCCACTCAATAACCAAAAATGTAAACAATCTCTCCAATCACAAAGGTTTTAAAAATTCTAAACCAGTTTTGGCATTGTTAGTCCCCACCCAGTAAAAGCCCTTAGGACTGGTCTAAAAATAAAACTATGTGTCAAGTGTTCCTCAAGAAATACTATGTACACTGATTGGAATGTGAGCAATTAACACACTTTGTAAGTGATTTGCCAAGGAGACTTCAGATAGCCTGGGCCAAAACCAATAACAAAGAAACAACACCCACCTGACATTTTCCTTGGTTAAACTGAGAGTCTCTAGGAGAAATTTTAGAAGATATAAAGTTAACTACTGAAATCATTCAGATCTACACAAGTAATTCTGGGAGAAAAGGAGGAACAGAATGACTCAGACACAGTAAAACTAAAAATGAAAACTTTAATAAGCAAATAAGGAACTTTTACTTTACTCACAACTTTAAAGGAAGAGTAATAAACCCAGCCATTACTATCATGAAGATTATAGGCAAAGTAACTTAGCCCTATACCAGAAACATTAACTGAATGTAACAAAAAGTTATCAAGCATTACATTTTTAACCTACTCAGTTCAAACAGGAATTCTTATTCATCCATACACATACATAAATATGCATCTACATACCGAGAAGAAGACCTAAATTTTAAACAACCGCTTCCTAAATGAGTCCAATGTTTCATTTTTCAATTTATTTAGTCAAGGTGAGCAATTTCCCAGGTAGTCATTTGTTTTAAAGAAATAAGTTTCAAAATCTAAACAATTCAAAAGACAAAAACAAACCAAAAAACCCAACTTTTCAAATCAATGCTCAATTTTGTTGTTTCCTTACTCCTTTCAAAGGTAACATTTAAAATTCTCTTTTGCAAGTCAACATTAAGGCATGCAGTCTGGCTAACAAGCTCCTCCCAAGACCAGGATTATTATGTATGGCCTATTATGTTCCCAACATGCAAACAAAAGCACTCCCTCATGTAACATTTTCTATTTTTAGGCAGTGGGTTCCCAACAAAGTTTTATCTGAAATTAAAATGCAGTAAAATCATACACCTACTACTACTAATATACTTGAAATAATAATTTGAAGTTATTAAGAATTTTTCCATTAATAAGAATTTAGTGGTCTGGAATAGTCAATTTTAACTTCTAAGAAGCTGTTGTTTAATCCTCAGAATAAACGATCCACTTTGGATTTCACAAATGGCGTGTTTTCAACTAAAAGCAATTCGTTTTAGCGCAGCTATAATACAATACTTGATGTGTAATCATTCTCCATTTCATCTTTTAGATACTTTTCATAATAAATGACCAGCTTAATCTGCTTCTCACTGTTTTCTTCTGCTAAGCCAAATCCCATAAAATATGTCCAACCGTACTTCACTCAAGTCTTCTACTTTGAAGGCATACACATTTTTTCAAGACTAAGCAATCCCCTACATTTATAAGCACAAACACCACATACCTAAAAGATAAGCTTTTACAAGAAAAATACCGGATGGTCTCGCTCATAGCAGGAATCTAGAAAACTTAAATAAGGGACCAGGAAAAAGAATAACTATAAGAAAGAAAATATCAAAATCAACAAACAACTATGAACCAGAGACACTCTAGGGGAGGTGGGGTGGCGGGGAAAGGAGGGATTGGGGTCAAAATAAGGGGGTTGTAATTGTATGGGGAATATAAAAATAAAATTTAAATTAAAAAAAAAGATAAGCTTTTACAACAGAAACAGGTTTATTTTCCCTAGCACCCAGTGTTCAACTGGGTCAAATGTTTTTCTTGCGTTTTGAACAGTTTAGCCCTTGAAATGATAAGGATGAAAACAAGCCAAAAGAATCTTAATGTTCTTCAGTGATGCAAAATCATCACAACCCAAAAAAGATTTAAGAACTGCTAACTGAAGTCTGTTGATATAATAATCATTTTCGTATAAACACAATCACAATTCAGCTATTTTTTAAAAATAGAACTGAAGAGTTTAAAACAAAACTGAAATCCAGGAATCAATCCAAAGAAACAGTTGACTATATAAAACACCAAGCTGAAAATACTCATTTGCAGTCTACATTTTTTCAAATGTTTTATAAAAATCTGCCAATTTCTATATGACTACGAAGTATGGTTTATATTGTCAACAATCTTTAATTTTGGTATCAGTGGAATGTACTGCATTTATAAAGTCAACATTTTTGTGAGCAAGTATAATTTCAGAAGAATCTTTTGCAAGAATCCCTACGAATTCATTTCATTCATCATTGTCTAAGTGCAAAGCATTCGACATAAAGCACTAATCGAAAACGCTTACTGGGTTTAACTATGCTCAATTTAAGTCAATCTTTTCAACTTCTTTCAGCTTCAACTTCATCAGGAGGGAAATTATTAGCAAGCAAAAAAGAATCAGCAATACCCCTCTAGAATAACCCAAGTTAGATCAACTAGCTCCCTGTCTTCAACAATTAAAGATCCTTCACATTCCAGCCCATTTTCTTTTGGACCCTCACCTCCCTTCCTGCACACCAGGTTCTCTGCTGCTCCTCAAATTCCTCCCAACTCCTGCAAGCCTCTGCGCCTTTGTACCGGCTGCTCCCTACATTTAACACAAGCTCCCCGCTCTCCTCACCTGGGTAGCATTTATTCAGCGCTCCAAAACTTGGAGCAAACGTCCCCTCCACTGCGCCAGGCCCCTCAACTCCCCCAGGCAAAACTGGCTGTTCCAAAATCCCAAAACACTGACTTAGTCCACCCTTATCTCAGCGCATTGTTTGACGCCTTGGGGAGGCACAGAGGGCAGACTCCCTCCGCTCGGCCCGGAGCACAGACCGGCAGAAATGCTCCAGGAACGCGCGCCGAGACGAAGCGACCCCCCAGAACCCCGTCAACATCTCAAGGAGACACAGGAGATCCTATCATTCTTCCCACCGGAGAATGACTACCAGCGGGCACACCCAGAGCCGTGGCACGAGAACAATGAATGAACACAGCCGCCTCGCCTCTGCCGATGTCCAAACTCCTCTGTCTGGACACCGAGAGGCTCTGCAGAGCCTCTGCAGCTGCAGAACTGAGGCGCCCAGGCGGCTCCCAGTTCACACAAAAGACAGCTCCGGCTCTTCATTCCACAGCATCCCGGGCCCGACCCTCATTAAAAGCATCCCAACCCTCTCATTAGGAACCCGCAGACTGTCCCGAAGCCCAAGGCGAGGCCCCCACGGCCTCGGTGGGGGGCGCTGACCCATTTCCTCCTCTCGCCCCGGATTCCCACTCCCCTGCAGGGGTGTCACCGGAGAGGAACCCCGAGAGGAGATGCTGGCTGCGCCCCTGGGCGCGACCAGCGGGACCGGGCACGGGTCCGTCCGAGTGACAAGGCTGCCACCAGGCAGCGCTCGGGTTTTCCCGCTGCCAGCACAAGCGCGCGGGCCGGGCACAGGGACGGCGCTGGCACATTTCCCCGAACACAGGGAAACGCGAGCGGGGAGGTGGGAACGCGGCTCGCCGGCCATGACACCGGGCCCGGGGCCCCCGCCCGCCCGCCCGCCCGGCGCCTCCCGGGGTGACAGCGGCCTGGCCCGGGCCCTCCGCCCGCCAGCGCCGCCCAGGCCGGGCCACCGCGGAGCGCGCGCCTTCAGCGCCCCCGCCCCGTCCTCCGAATCCAGGGCCCGGCCCTGCTGCCCACCTGAGGGAGCCGGGCCGCCTCCGGGTCCCGTCGTCGGCAGCGGCGGCGTCTCGTCCGCTCCTCCTCCCCGCGGCGGGTGAGGGAGCGGGAGGCGGTCACATTCGGCGCGTCCCCAACCCAGGGGACGGGGCCCGGGCGGCCCCCGCATCGCCGCACTCGCGCTGCGCGCCTCAGGGCACACGCCCCAAAGCCCGGCCCGCTGGCCCTCCTCGGGGCCCCGGGAGAGCGGCAGGCGGGCCTCCCGTCTCACGCCCGTCCTCGCCCGACTCCCGCCATCTAAGATGGCGGCCCAGTGCCCGCGATGGAGACTCTCGGGCGGCCCCGGCGAGCGAGCCCTCCTCGGTGCTCCTCCTCCCGACCTGCGGCGCCGCGGGCTCGGCTTTGCGCAAGCCCTCCTGGCAGCGGGCCTCGCGCCGGGCTCGGGCATCCTTCGCTCTGGCCTGAGCGCGGGCCCCGCCCCGGAAGGGGCGCGGCCTCGCCGTGTCGTTGGTCGCCATTTCCGAGCTGAGGGGGCGGCGGGACCCGCGGGACCCGCCGCGGGGTTGTGGGCGGCGGCGGCCGGGAGCGGCCGGCGTTCGGCCGCCCCGAGGGGCCGTGCAGCCCGCCTGCGTCGCGAAGCCGGGACGCAAGCGGACGTCCCCGGGCGCCCGGCGCCGAGGACCGTGTCCCGCCTCTGGGGTCGGGCGGACCGGGGTCGGGTCGGGGCCCCGCCACGGGCGGGCTCTGCGGGAGACCCCAAAGCGCCTGAGCCTCAGTTGCCTCAGTTGCCTCAGTTGCCTCAGTTGCCTCAGTTGCCTCAGTTGCCTCAGTTGCCTCAGCTCTAGGTTGGGGCTTCAGCTCCCTCCCCCACCTCCATCAAGTGGGCAGGCACAACATTTCAAAGAGGGCGGCTGTGCAGCCTGGTCCCAGGGTAGGAAAAGCAGTTGCTCGCCCGCCTTCAGCGCTGCGGGGGCAACTTCTTTATCCGTGAGCAGTCGCGTCCCGGCTCCCGGTAGCTTAGGTTCTCATATTCTGGAGAAATACTAACACGCACAAAAGTCATGGCGCTGAGACGTTTATTGGCTGTATTGTTGGCATTAGAGAAGCGCTGGGGGAAAGTGGGTACGTTTGAAAGGAAATTGGTGACCTAAGTGGTGGTGCATCCACTGTGCAGGGAGGCTTTGGTGGTTCTTGGTGTGCTACCATACATCTGAAAAGCGGTGAACTCACACCCCTAAATCATACACTGTTGTAAACCACATTACCGCAATTAATAACTTTAAAAAAAAAAAGAAATGAAGATGAAACAAGGTGAAATCATGATGACTATGTGGAACTAAATGTGAACATGGGAAAAAAAGCAGGCAAAGCAGCATGGGGGGGTTAAAAATAGTAACAACACCTATCTCACAGGATGAAGCCACATGAAACAGCACTCAGCACATATCTTGGAGTCTGCCTACTTCAAGTGTGGACCCTGCTGCTTCCTCATCAGTGACTTGAACAAGTCCTTTAAACCTCAGTTCCTCACTTTCCTCGTGGATGATGAAAACTTCACGATAGTGTATCTACCTTTCAGAATTGAAAGGATTTAGTGAGTTTTAGGATGTAAAGCACTTGAAACTGCCTGGCTCCTATTCAACCTGGAAATGTTAGCTGTAATTATAGCTATCTTGCTATCATATCATTACTTCTCCGGGCAGAGCTGCAAAGCCACACTTGCTGACCCCCAGGCCATTCCTTCTCTCAATCTCCCTCAGCTGGTATCTGCCCAAGGAGTCACAGCTAGGAAAGTTTAAGGAAAGTTTGCCTTATTCAGACCTCTCAGCACCAGTAAGAGTGCTGCATTTCTTCAGAAATAATTTACTGAGGTGAAATTCACATAACATGAAATTAACCAGACCTCGGGTACAGTCAGAGTTAGGCAACCACCTTCTCTAGTTCCAAAACATTTCCATCACTCCAAACAAAAGAAGGGTGCCTTCAGATTCAGTAGCCAAGAAGGGCTCTCCTAGAGGATGATAGTTAAGCTGGGCAGTGATGAGAAAGAAGTAGGGAAAGCATCTGAAAGGCCCTGTGGTGGGGATGGAGTGGGGGTGAGTGTGAGTGTGTGTGTGTGTGTGTGTGTGTGTGTGTGGGGGGGAGGAGTTGTGGAACCTGGTGGGTTGTGAATAGGACAGAGCATGACCTGTGGCCTTTCCATGCCACCCTGCCTCTCTGGTGAGTTTAATTTTAGTCACAGATGAGCTTGAAGTGTGGGCCTGGCCCTGGGTGCCTGGAGAGGCAGAACATTGTAAACAGTTATCCCACCAGGTGATCCATGAGTTCTGTGGGCAGCTCCCAGTAGGGAGGTGTGGGGAGTGACCGTGACAGGTTCTGCCAGGGAGGGCCAGGGACACCTGCAGAGGCAACCTGTAAGCTGAGTCTTAAAGGAGGAGTCAGAATTTTCCAGACTGAGACAGGAGGGAGAACTGGGCTGGAGGTGGGAAAAATAGAGTAAGGGCTCAGAGGTGTGATTTATTATTAAACAGTTCTCCAGGGCTGCAGAGTACCTTCCCTGAACAGAGGACTCCAGGAGAAGAGTGAAAGGGAGGTTTGGAGTGCAAAAGATGTCTGTCAGTCTCCCTTAAGGCACAGTGAAGCAGTCTATAAAGTGGGGCTGAGGGGCTGGCTTCTGCGATGTCAACCTCAACACATATTGGTAGTATCTCTGTCCTATGCAGGGAAGCCTACTGCAGTCATCTGGGAAACCAGTTAAAAAATTAAAACCTGGGCGCCCTCATCAATTACTTGGGTGTATAAACTGGAACAATCCCTATGTAAGTCAATTTGGCAATAGTGAAATTATAAAGACATATACCTTTTACCCTAGAAATTCTCCTGCTGGGAATTTATCCTTCAGATACACTTGTAAATGTGTGGGAGGATGTGTGTTCAAGGCTATTCCTTGCCACCTGGCTTGTCATCTGGACAAGAATCATGCAGCTGTAAGAATGAAGAGCTTTTCTGTGTAACTGACATGGGCGGATGTCCAAGAAAGACTGTGGAATGAGGGATAAAAAGGATAATACTGATCAGAGGCTACAGGGGGTGGATGGTGTACAGGAGCGGGAAATGGCCTGCTCTTTTATACTTTATTTTTTGCTTTCGCTTTTAAAAGCAAAAAAATTTTTGTTTACATTTTGTTTGTCATACCTCTTTGCTCTGACTTTCTCGGCCCCTTTTTGCTTCAACTAGCAGAAAAGGCACAGCTTTAGAATCAGGTGTTGAATTTCTCCCTACCCCGTTAACCATGTGACTGGGTAAAGGAAAAAATCTTATCTGTGTTTTCTTGTCTGTGAAATGGGGACAAGGTCATCCACCTCAGAAGTCGTTGGTGACAATAAGACCCTTTTTAAAGCATCTTGTGTTGGCAAGAGGCAGGGTGGAATTCCCAGACATGAGGTCATGACAGCCACCCAGGACCCCTATACTCAAAAGGTGTAGTGCACTTGGGGTGTAATGCTCTGTGGTCTCTGTCTTGAAATTCTGAATAATTTTATCTTCAAATCTCATGTTTTGGTGAGGGAAGTCTGATGGGACAATGGAGCGTGTACCCAGCTTGGAGCCTCTGATCACAGCCTCCCAGGGCTTCTCTGCTGTCTGTACCCCCTTCCTCTTTCCTCCACCCTCACCCTGAAGCAACTCTGCTGTCCTCCGCCTGGTAGAGAAGTAAGTGCAGGTGAGGGAGAGGCCAGGACAGGACCTGTCTTCCTCAGTGTGACAGGCCCACTCCCCCGCCCCTGATCCAGGCACAGAGCAGCGCCTGGCACGGAGTTTACACTCCCTTGAGGGTCTCCATTCACCAGGAGTTGGGATGATGGGCTCCTGGGAGAGGAAACTGACAACAATAGGATCTGTCTGTGCAGCTCTGTTCTCAGGCTCAGATATGATTCTCAGGCACATTTAAAAATCTAGAGCTGCTTTTCTCTAAGTTCATTTTCTCATTATGATTCTGGGCAACTGTGGCTTTACCTTCTGTAGGGTAAGGAAAAATGTCAGGCTTTTCTGCCCTCCCGCCGTCAGGATAGATGATGGATCCTTGCGGTCCTGAATGCATGCCTGATGGCGGCACCTGGAGTAGGGTGTGGGCCTAGGTAGATGGGATTCACCTGGGCTGAGACTGGGCTTTTAAGAGCGGCATCACGGGGACGCCAGCAGAAGCCGAGAACAAACAGAAGCCGAGAGAGAAGCAGAGGGTGCCGAAGAGCCCAGATGGAGTGGGCACTTGCTGGGGGCTGGGAGGCCTGCCGGCCCCCCCAGCACCCCTGCCTGCCGTGTACCTGGTAATCCCAGTGAAGGATCTGCAAAGAACCACTGAGGACTCTGACTCCTCCTTTACCCGGTCTGCTGGATCCTGGAAAACCTGCACTGTGGCCTGTCATGCCCTTACACCTTCCTTCTCAGATTCCTTCTAGTAATCGTGTGTCCTGTCCACATTTGTGGAAAGTATTTTCTTTTAGAAGCAACTTCAGAAGTCAAAGGACTCCAAAGCAATTGGTTGGCCATCTAACTTAGAAGTAAATTAATATTAACAATAGCTAACAGAGCTTGAGAATTAACTATATATTGGGCATAATGCCATAGGCAAGTGGAAGTAAATCATATGATTGAATCTCATAACAACTCTTTGGGCTGGGTATTATCATCACTCCATTTTATAGACAAGGGAACTGAGATAAGACCGCACAGTTAACAGTAGGTGAGCTTAAGATCTAATTCAAACTGTTTCACTCTACCCCCACCTTTTAAAAATAACTATCTTGGTATAATTACAAAGAAACATTTTGCAATAATACTATAGTAAACTTCCACATATAAGACTTACATTTAAATTATTACATTATATATTTGTTCTATAAATACATAGGTGACGTCGTTTTTTGAGTCAGTGGGTTTGGAGTGCAGGGTTCTTGGGTTCACCAGAGCTCCCCTTTCAGCGGCATGCGGCGAGTTTCCCAGGCAAGTTTCTCCAGGAGACAGAGACGTTATACTTAAAAAGCAGTCCCAGAAGTGGAATTACTGATCACCTGCAATAAATGCTTTTATGCCCATTCATATATATTGTTTGACCACCCCTTTGCCAGCACAAAATATACATTTATTTCCTTTTGGTTATTAGAAAAATAAAAGTACTTTAGCACTGTTTGAAGTTGTCTGCCTTTGATTAATTGTGCAGGTGAATGTTTTTGCATACATGGGTCCCCTGTTTTCTAACTTGTTCATGATCTTTGACTATTGGGGTATTGGCATTTTTTCATATCAATGTGCGGATTAGTTTTTATGATAAATGAA